ATGCGGCTCGCCCGAGTGCAGCGTCAGGCAGCACTAAGGGTAGCATCTGCCTATCGAACAGTGTCCAAACCCGCCGTCCTGGTGGTTGCTGGAGTCATCCCCGTCAAACTTTTGGCGGTGGAGAGGAAGGTAATTTATCAGCGCCGTGGGGAGGACCAGGCAAGAATTGAGGAACGCACCCGGACCTTCCAGCTGTGGCAGGAGAGCTGGGAACAGGAGACAAGGGGGCTCTGGACCAGGCGACTGATACAACAGGTCCAACCTTGGGTTAATCGGTGAACTTCTACCTCACCCAATTTCTGACGGGTCACGGCTTTTTCCGGTCGTACTTGTTCAGGATGGGCAAAAGCCGTGTCACCCGATTGCATATACTGCCCAGGCATTCCCGATGACGTGGAACACACTTTCTTCCACTGCCAGCATTGGGAAAGGCCCCGCCTAGAGGCTCAACAGTTCGTAGGACTGCTGTCGGTGGACACGGTCATACCGATGATGATGGAGGGTGAGGACAATTGGACCTGTGTGTCACTTTACATCCAGGGTGTTCTCCGCGCCAAGAAGCTTGACCTCGACCGGGATGCGGTGTAGGTCAAAAAAAAAAATAAAAAAATAATGCCAGAAACGGTGCGAGCCCTGTGGGCTTAGGTCACATGTTGGCCTGACTTGAAGTAATATGACAAACAATTCCAGGTCTGTGTCCAACAGAGTAGAGGGGTTTTTTTAGTGAGTAGTCTGTGATAAACTCAGGAGTCTCACACTACAGGCTGGCTACCTGTGTGCGTAAAAGCATTTTCCCTCCTCACCCTAAAAAAAAAAAAAATGTTTTTGTTTAGTTTTTTATATACACAATTCTGTTGAGTTCATGAAATAAAATAAAGCTAGAAGTGTTTGTTAATCTGTGAATTTTTCTTATATTAACCTTCCAACATGGTGTCAGGTTATTAGAAGAATAACAATAATGAATGGAATACCTCTACCAGATCCACTTGACATTTCGGACAAAACAAATGCAGCAGAGAAATGGATGTTATTCAAGGTCCAATGGAACAACTATCTAAGTTTGGCTGAAGCGTGTGGTGGCTCAGGATGCAGCAAGATAACAAGCAAAAAAGTTCAGGTACTGTAAGCGTACGACTTGTTTGCGAGCCGGGTGCGCGGGGGGAGAGCGGTACCAATCTCCCACCACGCAGCCAAAGTTTCCGTAGCAGTGGTCAGACTACGCTTCCTAAAAACATTCGACCAGCGCTGTTCGCGTTGTTTTCCTTTTTTGCGTACATTTTTTTAGAATTTAAATTTGAATTTAATTCTAATACCATACAATGTAATTACTAAGGGTTCTATATTGTTGTTTTGGTACTGTAGTAGAGTATTTTATTTTGATATAACTATTTTTTGACTTATTTAAATGTACACCAAACGGTAAAATCATATTAGGCCTATATTCCAATTTAATTGTTAAGTTTGACTTTTTAGGTGTAAATTATTAACTTTTATAGTTAGAGTTTATAGGCGATATCTTAAGATATAGTATTTTATGTAAAAACACATACAAATAAACAGAAAACCATAAGGCTTAGTACATATCATTATGGAAACTTTTGCTTATTTTCGTATTATGTACAATAAATAACACCTTAAAATACCGGACGGGTTTTCCGAACACCCTTTAAAACGGTTAATGGCTTGCAGTTATTTATATTTATTTTATATCCCTAAGTTGATAAAACGAAAGTCGGTCTCTTAATGTCGTACGTAAAGTATTTTATGACACTATATTTTATGACCGGACGAGTATTGTATTCTATCGTGTTCTATCGACTGTCAGTTTATTGGACTATGCTGTTTAGATGAGTAGTGCGGTTGAGTAATTAATGAGTGATTGTTAAGCCGTGGGTTAAAAAAGTGTCCGGCTAGGCTAACATAGATTAATTAATATCATGGCAACCGCCCGTAAAAAAGGGTAAACCATTCACAGAGAAGCGATGGAAATATTATAAGACCAGCAGGTGCCGTGTGTTGGTGTGTTGGTGTTACGCATCCGCTGGGAGTAGAAGTAGTATATAGACAACATTTTTAGGGCGACTAGTAGCAGATCGCCAAGCGCCCGGCTGTGGTGGGGGCCCCTCCTGGCTAAGGAGGCGGTGGAGGGGCCACGCGCAAACAAGTCGTGCGCTTACAGTAGCTTTATTCCAGTCTCTCATTGGAGGTAAAACATTACAGCTAATAAATAAAATATGCAATGACAAGGCCAGCGTTGATGAGATTATTGATAGACTAGATGATTATTTTAATAATGCTAAGAATGTTACTTTTGAGCGCTTTATGTTTAATAGTGCTACACAATCACCAAATGAGTCTTGTAAAGAGTATATTAACAGGTTACATGAAATGATAGGAAATTGTGAATTTGAGTTACTGTCAAATTTATCTAGGCTTGAAATTGAAGAGCAGCTCTTATGTGATAGATTAGTAGTAGGTTTAGTAAATAACGACTTAAGAAAACGGCTCTTATCAAAAAAAGATCTGACTCTTGATAATGCAACAAGCATATGTCTTTCTGATGAGCAGGCTAGTAATCTTGCTAAAAAAATCAATGAACGTAGAGCTAACGAGACTGAACCTTCTGCGGAAAATATAGTTAATGAGTCGTTTAGAATAAACAGTGATCAAAAACTTCTTTCGTGTAAATTCTGTGAGGGGAAACACCAAAGAGGAGCAAGTTACTGTCCTGCGTTTGGAAAAGCGTGTAGTTTATGTCGAAAAAACAATCATTTTGCTGAAATGTGCCTTAAAGCAAAAGAAAAGATTAAAGTAGTAAGCTCTGCTTGTGAAGATACCATTCCTGGAGATGATGTAGACATAAATGACATATATTAAATGGAAGATTACATTCCAAAAAAAGTCTATTCGTCCATTTGAAAGTCCCATTTAGGAAAGGTAATCGAATACTAAAATGTCAACTTGATAGCGGGGTGACACGCAATGTAATGTGTTATGATATTTTAAAGGAGCTGGTTGGAGTTATCGTCCAGTCCTACAAAAAAGTAATACAACGCTTACTTTCTATGGTGGTGCTTCAAAGGCTTCTCTTGGGAAAATAACATTGCATGTTATATGGAAGAATATTAAGCAAAGAATGACGTTTGAAGTTATCAATACGAAGCATATTCCATTGATTGGAGCTCAAGACTGTTTACGGTTAGGGCTTATTGCAGTAGATGAGGATGTTTTTGAGTTAAAGAATTCTCCAAATACAAGCTCCATTCTATCTTCTTTTCAAGACATTGGTCTAAGTCTAGGATGCTTTGAGGGTAAACATAAATTTAGACTTGACGAGTCTGTTTTTCCTGTAGTGGTTCCACCTCAAAGATATCCTCTGGTTTTACAAGATGAGATAAAAAGTGAAATACAACGTCTTGAAGAATTAGGTGTAAGGTAACGGAACCTTCCTCATGGGTCAGTGCTATGGTTGTCGTTAAGAAACCGAACAAATTACGCATTTGTATTGACCCACATCAACTAAACATATTACGGTAGAAACCGATCACAAACCTCTTGAGACTATTTTCAAAAAACCTTTGGTCAATGCACCTAAGCGGTTGCAAAGAATGTTGCTACGTTTGCAGAGGTTTACATTTACTGTTGTTTATCGACCAGGTACATGTTCTCATGTATGGTAGTCCTATTAAATTGCGTAACTGAATGTATAAAAAAACTGATAACTCATTTACTTTTTATCCGATTTTAACAAACAAGGCCTCATTTGATTTGCATTAAAATTCTCTATCGTTTCGGTAAGGTAAAAGATGTTCTTAATATTTACGGTTTTCATTAAATTTGGCATTAAAGATTTAAAATGGCCGCCATATTGAAACGGCTAGAGATATTGAAACGAAATTTTCACAGTTCCTTTTACTTGTAGACCTACTTATTCATACCAAATTTTAAATCTCTATCTTGAAAAATGCCCAAGATATAAATTTATAAAAATCACAAACACACCGACAGACAGAAATCTAGGCACTTAGACCCATACTTATATGGTGTTTTATGTTTGTCTTCGCCCAGGGAACAAGTCCACAAAATATGTCCAGACAATTCGGAAACACCCTGTAAAAGGGTGATAAACTAATATTATTTTACTCTAAGTTGCCTAGACAGCAATTTACATGTATGTGGCTTTTACGTCTGATAAATAGTTAAGATGCACAAAAAAGCATAGCCTACCATATCAATGTAAGGTGGGATTGGACTTAAATTAGGATTTATGGTTTTTACCATGATTAGCTTAGGCAGGTAAAAAAATTACATCTCGTTTTAACCAAATCAAATTCAATAATTTGAAATGAAGTAGTAGTTATGATTGTGATCATTTCTGTGCTCTATGGTCAATAGTAGAGATAGTCAAAACCAAAATTCATCAATTCTCGATACCAATACTTAAAAACATAAACATAACCAATAACCATTGTCTTCTGTGATAGCAGCAATCCCCTGAATATCACCCGCAGTTACGGAAACTATCTTGTTCGTAAATAATGTATAATATATTTCTGCACAAAAGTAATTTATACCATGTATATTTGTGAAAGCATATTTGAATTAAATTGAAAACATCCTCGTCCTCACCTAGAGTCACAAAAACTTCATTATTGCTTTACGAAATTGTGGCAAAAAAGTGAATTTTTTGATCACGTGATCTACGCAGACGGGTTTTACGATTGCGATAACTATCAGGTATTGGTATTAACCTATGATGATCGATTCTCAAAACAATGCAAATACTCATGTATTGATGGTATTGAGAATCGACACTTTCCTAGTCAATTTTCCAGTGAATACTAATAATTTATCTGTACTTTTTACTTGATCAATAAACTGATAGTGTGAGAGCAGTGAACTTATTGTTTACTAATTGTATTCTACACTTAAAACAATAAGGCTTGTCAATAAATAGTTGCCAACTACAACAGAACTTAAGATAGAGAAATGTCAGGTACATTGGCATCGCCGGCCCCATCCACCTGCTTGGGTCGAGGGCCACCACGTCGGAATGTGCGAGTGCGTCTTTCCCTGGGTTCATGCGACACACTACGAGAGCGAGAACGTGAGCCTTGGCTGTACTGCTGCTGCTGTCTCGAATACAAAGGACGCCGGCGCTGGTACGGAGGAAAAGGTGGTCGGAAGTAGGGTCTAGGCCGGTCCTCTGGCTCAGAGTCCACCTCTTTCAATGTGCAGTCCTTTCCCTCGCTACAACAAATTTATCATATCAAGTTTCAAAGTTAAGTATGTAGTCTAAACCAGTGTATACTATTATAGTTAGCAGGTAAAGTAAAATATACAAAACTCAATTTAACAATGCCTCTTAAATTAATGTTAAAATCATGAATAAATTTGTAGTACCTAATCTTAATTACCATGTCCAAATGGATTTCTTAAACTGTTATAGTAGTTAGTATGGTTAGCAGTCAAAACTTATAATTTTAAGTCTGTTTCATAACTAAATGTCATATTTTCAAACGAGAATAATCTTCACCTAGTTATTTGCAACAAAAACACCAGTCGGGGTCCTCAGTCAAACTTGAAAATAAGTCAATTCTAGGTCTTTCTTGGTGATACTTACATATTTAATGTGAAAGGGGCTGGGTACAGGAGGAATTGCAGCAGCAGCATCACAATATGTCTTATCAGACTACAGAGACAAATAGAGTCGTACACATAGAGACGATTGGCAGCAGAGATAATCGATCAATGTCACACTGAATATTTCAAATAAGGATGTGTAAGACCCACAAATTTGAGCCATATTTATTTTTGTTTTTTAACTGTATTTTTAATATCTTTTTTAAAGAGGAATCTCAGGAGAAGCGGTTGTTGCAGCCGTTTCCAAAGTTTGGGCAGTCACACATTCACATTAGCACAGCTCAGGAGATTAAAGATTATTATATTGATGTTTACGTAAACGTGGACACAATAATTGATAAGGATTTTGTCGCAATCATTGGAGATTCAGAAGATTGATAGCAGTGACATAACTATGGGGGGCGATGAGGGGGATAGTGCCCCCTCCCCAGAACCCTAAAATGAAAATAAATGTTTCTATCACAGCAACCCTACTTCTTTAAACTACAGTTGCATGAAGTTTATAACAGAAACTGATGATTTGGTTTTATTAATCTAGTTTGTTAATTATTAGTTGGTTTGAATAGTAATATAGTTAAAGGTATAAACTAATTTCAAAAGGTTTATTTAATGAATACACCCAGGCAGCAGGAGTAAATTTGGAGAGTGGTACTGGTAACCACTTGGTTAACTACTTGGCATGCGCTAAGCACTAAGCAGATGGCTTTTAGGTTAGTTCTAGTTCACTTGACACTTTTAGACTTGTAACAAAAATATTAAATGAGCCCGGTCATTCTGAAATACATTGATATTATTTAGTAAAATGTTGTGAACAGTATTGTGTATTATTATCCGGTAAGGTGTCAGGGCTGTCGGGAGGGTATTTCGGCCAAGTCTAAAACTTGGAGAAACTGTAATAAGTTGGGAATCATGCATACGGCTGGTAAAAACCAAGCAAATGTTTTTACCTATAGTACTTCTTAATCAAGAAATACTATTTCCTGAATCCGACCGGCCAGAGACAGCCTCAATTGGGTTGATTTTTTAGTTCTTTTGAACGTGATTACCGTTCAAAATATAAAAAAGGGCCACGAAGTGAACCTAGCAGCTATAGGCCAATATCCCTGATCCTAACATTCTAAAAAATAATCGAAAAAATTGTACTTGGTAGACTCCTAAGCCATCTCGAACGGCATAGCCTACTTACGAATAAACAGCACGGATTCCTCAGGGGTAGATCAACAACAACAGCCCTGATACAGCTGACAGAACATGTCATAGACCAATTGGAGGAAGGATGCTCAGTGACCAGCCTGTTTCTTGACTTTAGCAAAGCCTTTGATTGCCTCAATCACGACCAGCTACTACAAAAACTAAGAGCCCTAGGAGTAGGAGGTAAAGAAGCAGAATGGTTTAAATGCTATCTCAAGGGAAGAAAGCAACTGGTAGAAATAAATCACGCCCAAAATAACATAAACTACAAAATCCTATCTCCAACAACTGGTGTAAAAAGAGGGGTTCCACAAGGATCTGTACTGGGGCCAGTGCTCTTCCTCCTCCTCACGAATGACATGCCAAACTGCATGAATGATGCCTGCTCCACTATAATGTACGCAGACGATACCGTGCTTACCATCTCTGATAAAGCTACTGAAATGCTTGAAACAAATATGATTGCATGCCTCAACCAAGCTCAACACTACTGTAAAAACAATGATCTAGTCTTAAATGAAAACAAAACAGTACAAATTATTTTTAACACAAAAAATAAAAGTACAAACTTAGCACCTCTCCCCGGCCTGGAAGCAAGGAACATAACCAAATATCTAGGTATCACAATTGACTCAAAATTGTCATGGAAGCAACACATCGACCAACTTGGCAAGAAACTCTCGGCAGGTACCCGCGTAATTAGAAAACTCAAACAAATATGTGGCCTGGAGATAGCTAAAGTTGCCTACTTTGCTCTTTTTGAAACCTACTTAAGATATGGAATAGTGACATGGGGAGGAACATCAGCATCCAATATGGAAAAGATTCTTACTCTACAAAAAAGAGCAATCAGATGCCTAGCAGGACTTCACTACCAAGAAAGCAGCCGGGAATCTTTTAAACAACTAAAAATCCTCACAGCAACCTCACTCTACATTCGGGAAACCATTCTGCATTCAGTCACCTCACAACAGTTAAGACATCATGAACTCCATACATACAACACAAGACATGCCACAAATTTCACCCTACCACTACACCGCCAAAAGCTTTTCGAGAAGAAACCTTCATACAAAGGAGCGCTCTTCTTCAACCACCTACCCGACCATCTAAGAAGCCAGTCACCCCAACGTTTCAAGAACCAGCTAACGGCATGGCTCCAAGAAAGACCCTACTACTTACTCAGAATCAGAATTCCTGAACACCTGACACAGCGCCGCCGCCGACGAGAGCTCTCTCTGGACATCAAAATGTGAACTTTGTGTTATCACATTACATATCTATATAAAAAAAATCTTGAGCATTGTAAATAAAGAACATTGTCTATTGTCTAATTTTTCCAAATTTTCCGGGAGAGGACGACTCTCCCCAGACCCCCCCCCCCCCCCCCCGCCAATTGAGTGCAGAAGTTGAGCCCATTCATACCCCCAAAGCCAGTTCTAGGTACGCCACTGATTCATTATTGAATCTTAAGTCATGAAGTATCAAGAAACTTTTGAGAAATAAAGAATTGGAACCACAAAACTCATGGCTCAATTCAGGTTTTTATCGTTTGACAAAACTCATGGCTCAATTCAGGTTTTTATCGTTTGACAAAACTCACAACTCACATTCACGTTTCAGTAGGTAACCTTCCAGTATTTCACTCTCTTTAGTGCTGTAGCACAGACTACTTAACTAATTAATAACGAGTTGCAGGCTGCTTAGCTTGCCTATTTAGTTTTGCTATCAAGGATCTAAATAACAGTTGAACATGTAAAATAAAGTTATTGCATGTATGCAAATTCACTCACTCCATATCTTTCCCTCTCAGTTCCTTCAGTAACGGGATTAGCTGCAAGCGTCTGTCAGACACCATATTCCACATCATGCCTCTAGGCTTATCAGGACGAGGAGCGACTTTGATCACCTTTGTAGGAGTGATTATATAATCAACAGGCACATCAAAAGGCTTAAACAAGTCTTGTGGTAACGATTCGAATACCTGAAACAATAACAATAGAATCATCTACAGTACAGTAGGAAATTACAAAATACAGTAGAAAGGAAATGGACATTCCTATGAAAGCTATTGAGCATCTATATTTATAAGTTTGTATATATATATATTTGAACGTTATGGACCCCGAAACCGCTCGACAGATTGTAATGAAACTTTCAGGCATTATTAAGCATTATTCAAGGATGGTTTGTGTGAAGCTTGGTGCAGATCCGTCAAAAGGGCTCCGCCCCAGTGGCTCTGGAGTTTCCCATGATAACCTGATGAGTGCTCATATTTAAATGGAATTAAAGAATCTTAACAGCTGTTTCAACTAAACAAATTGATTCTCTGATGATCAATAGCATTAAAAGGTTAAAAAATGTACCAACAGGGTGCAGCACTATTAACTGTCAAAATTTTTAGCATTATTAGCTTATATTTATATTTATAAAAGAGGAAGTTTGTTTAGTAAATAATTTTTGATAGTGTGTGAATAAGGAGTTTTATTTTTTAAGTGCGTATGTTTGTGGCAATTAGATTAACGTATATAAAATACTAAAATGCTATGGAAAGTGATCAAAACAGCCACGATGTAGGAAGTGGCTTAGGAAGTAGTTAAGTATGAGCATAGTGTGAGAACCGTCTGTGGCAGTTAGATTAATGTATCTTCAATCCTAAAATGCTATGAGAAGGGAAGGAAACAGGCCCCACAACGTAGGAAGTGGTGAAGGAAGTCGTAAGGCTTGCAGTGCTGAGTGTGGGAACTGTCTTTGGCAATTACATTAATGTATTTGCAATCCTAAAATGCTATGGGAAGAGAGGGAAACAGGTCCACGACGTAGGGGGTGGTGAAGGAAGTAGTAAAGGTGAGCAGTGTTGAGTGTGGGAATGGATTAATGTATCTGCAATGTTAAAATGCTATGGGAAGAGACTGTAGACTGTAGGTTAAAATGATTACGAAGCACGAATCGATACATATTTCGTTACATGGAATCGTTTACAATAGAAATTTACAACTGAGTTGATGATAACAGCTGATTTTTACTCCATAGAGGCTAAAAACTATTTTTACTCCCTAAAGAGTAAAAATGCTACTTTAGAACCGCAACGCATGCATTAAAAACGACTGTTTTTACTGCAGTATGACAAAAACAATATATTATGAACCCTTGATGACTCCGCTCAATTTAGTGGATGCCTCTGCGAACGCCACCTAGTAAATTAATAGGCCTACTTTTAGTGATCAGAGGAGATGAAGCATGTTTATTTACTTCACTCTCATTTATGATCACATTACACACATACATACACTAATAACTGTGTGCGAAGCAATTGTTGAAAATGCGAGAAACTGGGACCACTTCTCAAACTTATTCTATACGACAGTGACGGGGACGGGTTGAGACATTATAATAGCTGCTTTAATATGACATCGATTTGAGCAAAAAAGGCTGCATTGTTGACTGAAGGCTGTTGGAACTTAAACACTATTAACTTATTTCAAATGTCAACCAATCTGAAAGTTTCCGTAGTGAAGCACGGGTATTCCGCTAGTTGATTACATAATCCATTTTGGGTGTATGATGTATTACTAACCAAGGGGATAATTACTACTGTTCAAAAACTAAGTCTTTTACTGCAAAACATTATAAAGTACACTAATATTGAACTAAAAGTCTAGAGGAAAGGTCGAGGATGTTTTGTAGTTTTCGACGATGCGCCGCCGGAATTGATGCGTTGTTCCACGATCCCGTTATTAGTTGTGACGTTCCGCGATCCCAGTGACTAACACAATAACGGTCTACAGATGTTATGTATAATGATTTTTTATATTGAAGTTTATTAAAGACATTTTCATTTTTCAATATAGATTGCTCGTCCACATGAAAAAGTGTGTTAGGTAAATTAAGAATGAGCGAATGTCCACTGAAAACAAATTGACTTTACAACTTAATTAATCGTAGAAAAACTGAAATATTTTAAGGCTTATAGGTTTTATGTTTTCAACCTCTTGAACAAACCAAACACCTCAAGCAATGCTCGGTCCCCTGGTACTTCTTAATAAAAGAAGTGACTGACAATAAAATATAAACTATATTGCCAGACAAGTGCAACATGATGACTTGTATTGTATTGAAAATAATGTGCCTGTAAAAGAGTGCTGGACTGATATTAAACATCATATGAACATTTATGGTATTTACTATGGTGACTTTTTTGTCAGTAAATTCTGTTAATTAAACACAATTATACGTACATTAAATTGTCCAATACAAATTAATTTGATTGAATATACACTATTGCCAAACATTCGCCAAATATTCAGGCCAGATTGCGACCGCAAATGTTGAAAAATGTGCAACTGTAACCACCCGAAACTAACCAAGTACACTATCGGCTAACTTCGGCCGAACTGTGCCGACTCAATATTGCGTATTCGCAGCAAAACATTCAAGTTAAGCTTTGTGCAACATGGACGCTGTTGTATACCTGTGTTTATGTTCTAAAGTTATGCTTACTTCAAGTCAAGTATGTATACGCACACACTAAGCTGATTTAGATTGTAGTTAAGCCATTTTTAAATTACCCGTGCCGTGCCCCACTGATTGTCAAAGATCCAGTCATTTTCTTATGGAATTTATTAATAATGTATAATAATAATATGTCAATTTGTTGACATATTAAATATCTTGTATATACTGATGTACATATCTTGTAGTAAATAATTAAAAATCATCGATTACAAGTAACATTAACTACACAACCACTGCAATAAATACTGTACGAATGACAGCGAGTGTGTACTGGCTAAGTTTGTGTCGGTCTGCGCTCGGCATTCATCCTAGTTCGTCTCCTTTGATCCGTAATGGGAGACCGCCAAAAAAGTGAGCGCACCCGAACATGAATGTTGGCGATCTTATCTTATCTTATCTAAAAGGGGCAGGCCAAGACCATTGAACTACCCCAAATGTACACGAGCACATCGAGTACACTATTGCACTCATATTCGGCCTTAGTCTACTGCAGGCATAAAGAATAAGTATTGTCATCAACGGCTCCGTTGACCTACCTGCTCGTCATGTACAGTGGTGACCAACACAGTGTTGTCATCAACAGCTCCTGTGGAAGCCAAAACAGCATATTCCAGGTCTGAGAAACCTTCTCCTTTACCAATCCTTTGGCCTGAAAGAAGATTTCTTATTTATCTTTTTCATATTGATTGCTACACCTTATTCTACATACCATGCAACTGTTACTCACATGTAGAATTGTGCTAGAATGAGTCTTAGTTTGTTGAGCAAGATTAAAAATACTCATCCTAGGACTTCTCCCTTGCTCAGGAGAAATAACATAATGCTGTCTATGAAAAATCGACTGCGGCTCATTGGTTTTCTAATAACTTAAATATGGAGCATTTTTTTTTAGTCCAGAGTTTGTATTATTAATCGTGAAACTTTATTTTAAGGTTAAATTCATGATTAGATTATTAAGCCCAATTGCCTGTGAGAGCCCAACACATTTCGGGGAAGTGCCCCTGGATATGTCTTTCAGTATCTGGAAGCCAATAAGAGAATACCATATCACAAAGAATTCTATTTTATTTTTATTTTATTTATTATCAATCATCACATTACATCAAGTTAATTGACAGGTGATTTGTCCATAAGTCTTAATTATTACTAAAAGTAGACTAAAATTAAAAATAAGAAAATTAAAATCTATTTTTGCTCTGATAAGAATTCCTCAACACTGTAAAAAGCCTTCTCCAATAACCATTTTTTCAAAGTTTTTTTAAAGCTAGCTACAGACTCTGTGTTTTTAATGAATGTGGGTAATTTGTTGTAAATTTGTGGTCCCATATATTGAGGGGAGAGGTGGAACAATTGAAGCCTATGTTGAACCGGTTTGATTAAATTTTTAAATCTCGTGTTATGAGAATGGTTTTGTTGGCTTTCCATGAATAATCCTATATCACCCTTCACCATTAAAGCGAGTTGATAAATATATGAACTGTATAAGGTTAACATTTTAAATGATATGAAAAATTCTTTACAGTGTGTAGTCTTAGGAACTCTTGCGATCAGTCTGATAGCTCTTTTTTGAAGGGTAAATATTTGTTTAGCCCGACAGGAAGATCCCCAAACAATTAATCCATAGTTCATAATAGAAGAAAAATAAGCGTGATATGTCATTAATTGTGTTTCTAAATTTGTGGTATATCTAATTACACGAATAACAAATGTGGCAGAGACTAGTAGTTTTGAAACATTTTTAATTTGTTGGTACCAATTAAGATTTGAATCAAGAGCTATTCCAAGGTAGTCTACAGAGTTTTTGGTGTGAATAGGAGACGAGTTACAATTTACTGAAATATTTGAACTTAAACTAGAGGGTGAAAACTGTATTAATTGTGTCTTTGACATATTCATTGAAAGCCCATTTACTTGACTTGACTTGACTACTGAAAACCAGTTCTGAAGCGATTGAAGCTCTTTGGTGATAATGAGATGCATCGGCTCGTCGGTTATGCCTTTGCAGATGAGAGCAGTGTCATCTGCATATTGAAAAATATTCATTTTTGTACTATTGCAAATGTCATTAACATAAATAATAAATAAGCAAGGGCCTAAAATTGATCCCTGGGGGACCCCAAACGGGGCTTTACTCCATTCTGATTTGAAGTAGGTTTTAAATTTGTTTATGATGATTCTTTGATGCCGGTTATCTAGATATGATTTAAACCATTTCAGCTCAATATTTTTTACACCAAGTCTGCTAAGTTTTTCAACCAGTATATTGTGATCAACACAATCGAAAGCCTTGGACAGATCACACAGTACACCAACCGTCTGTTGTGATCCATCCAAGGCCATCGCGATGTTGTCAATCATATTGGAAATTGCTTTCTGACTACTTAAATTTGATCTGAAGCCAAATTGTAATGGGTTGAATAAGCTATTTTCTTCCAAATACTGAACCAATTGAATGTTAATAATTTTCTCAAAGATTTTTGAAAAACATGGCAACAAAGCTATCGGCCGATAATCAGAAGGATTGTTAACATCTCCTTTCTTAAACAGTGGTTTCACATCAGAGAATTTAAGTTTGTTTGGGAAAATGCCTTGCTTCAAGGACTGGTTCACTAGTCTGCAAATAGGTCTTTTTATGATTTTAGAGACTTTTTTAATTACAAATAGGGGAATTTCATTCCACCCACAAGACTTTGTGTTTCTTAAAGACCCAATAACATCTTCAATTTCTTTAGCAGAGACACTTTTGAATTTAAATTGTAACTGATCCTGACTAAGTTTTTTATTTACTTGAACTTTATCAAAAAGACCCATTGCTTTGCATATGTCTGTTGATTGATTAACACTATGTGCCACATTTACAAAAAAACTATTAAACTGATTTGCCAACGATATTAAGTAGCTTTGCTCGGTTCCATCTCCTACTGTTATATTTCAACAGGAGTTTCAGAAGAATGTGTTTTAAGACCAAGCTCATTTTTCACTACTGACCAGGAAGCTTTTATTTTATTAGTTGATTTTTTGATAAAATTATCATTTGCTTTAAGTTTTGCTAAAGATACCACTTTTTAAAATATTTTTTTATAGTTTTTGAAATAAGTTAAAAATGTAGGGTTGTTATTTTCTTTTGACACTTGGTGTAAATATTTTTTTCTCTCTGCTGAAATTTTAATTCCTTGAGTGATCCAATTTTTTTTGTTTGACTTATGATTTCTTGTTTCAACTGTTTTTGGAAACGCTTCATTAAACAAATTGAGAAAAACTTTGTTATAGTTTTCATCAGCTGATGAAGCATCATCAAAGCCCCAATCTGTACCCTCCAAAGCTGCTTCAAAATTCCCACAGTTACTTTGAGTAAACTTGCGTGTCATTTTTTTATTTTTTAAATCATTAATTGGAGAAGGCGATCGCAGTATTTCAAAGCCTAAGAGCAAAATCATATGGTCAGACACACCAATATCTAAAACATTCTTACTTATATTCATTGCTCTCACATTAGAAATTATATTGTCTATACATGTTTTAGAAGTCTCAGTTATTCTAGTCGGAGTTATGTGACGTAATTTTCCTGGCGGACGACAAGTGGGAAATTAAGCCACCGGTAATAAAACGAGGATCCCAGGATTCGCCCTAGTCTGGTCGCGGGGAGTTTCCCAGGAGTCGATAGTGATTCGGATAGCCTAAATTTGATAGCCCTGGTTGTCAGAGCTCGAGACGAACGTTACGGGTTACTAACCACCCAACTAGAAATCACCACCCTAGCCTAGGGCTTGTGGGGAAATTAATAATTTTGGCTTGACTCTGAGGGCAAATATCTAAATGACACACTACTAGCTAACTTAACAAATCAACAAGTAAGCTAAGTAGTCACTCCGCTTACCTACGGAGTTAAGTTGTCAACCTGAAACAAACAAGGTTAGAACAAGAATAGGCCTAACCTAGTCTAACTCCCACAGAGTCCGAATTTACTAAAATGATAAGAAAACAAGTTAGCCTAAGTGGTCCAGGTGAGGAACGAACAAAAAAACGAAACTAAAAAGGTGAAACTGCTCCTTGAGCCAAAAACGAAAAACTAAAACTTTAACTTCCTCACGTGTTCAACTTAGACCAACTTCGACAGAACTTGTCCAGCAGAAACCTGTCTGCTGGAACAGACTTTGGTACGTTTGGGGAACTTTAAAAAAAGGGTTTTAAGAATTAAAAAAGAAAGTCCCAACACGGATTATGAAACGTAATTGAAAATATATTTCACCAACTGCAGTACTTTACTCAAATTGTTGGTTAAGGCGTATGACTAGGTCTGCGAATCAGGCCTAGCCTTCAAGTTCAACCAAGTTTCGTACACGAAAACTGGTCAAGTAATATACAATAATCTGTAAGTTAGTTACAAAACTTACCCGATGACGAAATTATATCAAAATATTCACTACGAAACAATACATACGAACTTAAGCTTTCAGAGCTTGCGATACGAACTTTAACTTGCACGAATTTTCGAGAACGAACCAAAAGCGAAACAAACTTACGAAAAGCCGGGATTACGAATGACAATTCACAATTCTCCTCCACAATCCTTCTTCTTCCCTCACCTTCGTCTCAGAATCGAGACGAAAGTTAAAACGATTCCTGATTGGTCCACGAGTTACAGAAAAAAAAAAAAACTGGCAGCGAAGGCAGGCGCATGGCAGCTTTAACAGGCTTACAGCCGCGTACCGCTCAAAGGTGACCCCGCTGCTCATCTTCTCTCCCGCAGCCCGGCCTCAGACGCAGTCGAACAGCCAAACAACCAAACTGACACCAGCGTCGTCTGCGGTCTTGGAATTTGAGGTTAGGTACGATGTCAGTTTAGTGTCGCGACTAGGCTTACTCAACAGCTTATGTTTAGCTGTTTAAAGTTCGTGGTTTAGCCGTTATTTTACCCCCTACACATTTGACCCGTTACAGTTAAGACGTTTGGGGTAAACCCATAGCACTCACAAATTTCTAAAAAATTGTAAGTGCTTGATTTTTGTTTAAGCAAGTCAATATTTGTATCTGATGAAATAAAAATATCTTTACATCGTGACTCTAATGCTAGTCTGTCCAGTAAAATTTCAAATTTGTCCAAAAATATTTTATCTATTTCATCACCAGGAATTCTGTATATTGAGATAAAAATAGAATTCCACTCTTTTACTTCAACAAAAGACCCTTCAAAACTGTTTGGTTCATTTAAAAATTTTAGGTCATCTCGTACTTTAAAATTTACATTTTTTTTATCATTATACATGACCCTCCCCTTAACTGATCTATTCTTGAAAAATAATCAGAAATCAAAAAGTTATCCAACTTACTCAGCAATTGAATATTTTTTTGTCCAACCAATGCTCATTTAGTGAAATAACATCAACATATTTTGCTTGATTTTCCAAAAACAATTGTAACTCCAAATGGTTATTTAAAAATCCCTGTACATTAAAATGTAAAATATTAACACAATTACTTAATTTATTCTTAAACTCAACTTTTCCCCTCATTGGTACAAGGTTTCTTCTCCTAAAAAAATACTGTTATTCGTATTGGTATTTACATAATCCATATGAACTAACTTATTTCTAGTATTTACATGTGATTCATCATTATCTCTGCTTGGCACACCACACTGTAAAACGG